CCCGGCGCCACTGCCTAGAGCTCGGGGTCGCTTCTGTCCGGACTGCTCTGAGAGCCGACGCGGCAAAGGGAGGCGCAGGCTGCCAGGAGCCGGTCTTTCCTCCCGTTGCCCTGCCTCTCCCTCCAGGAGGAGAGCTGCAGCGCAGACTGGCTAAGTGCTGGGGCACAGGCGGCGCGCAGGGCGCTGGAAGTTAGCGGCCACCGGGCTCCAGGACAGCGAGCTCAAACTCGGATTTACAGGGCCAGAGTCGCGACTGCCCAGTGTTTTGGCCTAGGCTTTCCTTGGATCAAGAAAAGGCAACCCGAAGGTCGGAGGAAACACCGCCCTCTCACGCCCTGCGCCCGCAGCTCCCGCGCTCAGCCTCGGACCACCCGCGGGAAGCCGTGGAGAAGGCGGCGGTAAAGCTGGCGCGCCCCGCCCGCGACTGCGAGTGCCCGTTGGCGACCGTCGGGGCCCGAAGTTTCGCGCATCAGAGACCTGAGTTGGCCAGAAAGGCCAGGCGCGGAGCCCACAAGCCGCTGGGAGAAGGCCGGGGAGAAAATCCGAGAGGACCTAGGGGGCCAGAGGGCAGGGTGGCTGGGCTGGACGGGCGGAGGGGCAATTAGTCGGGGCAGTCCGGGCCCGGGAACCGGGTAGGGAGCGACGCTGCGGCTCAGTGTGGGCCGGAGGGCGGTGGAGGAGCCGGGGGCGATGCCGCGGCCGGGGAAGAGCTCCTACAGCGACCAAAAGCCACCCTACTCGTACATCTCGCTGACTGCCATGGCCATCCAGCACTCGGCCGAGAAGATGTTACCTCTGAGCGACATCTACAAGTTCATCATGGAGCGCTTCCCCTACTACCGAGAGCACACGCAGCGCTGGCAGAACAGCCTGCGCCACAACCTCTCCTTCAACGACTGCTTCATCAAGATCCCCAGGCGGCCCGACCAGCCCGGTAAGGGCAGCTTCTGGGCGCTGCACCCCGACTGCGGCGACATGTTCGAGAACGGCAGCTTCCTGCGGCGCCGAAAGCGCTTCAAGGTGCTCCGGGCGGATCACGCTCACCTGCACGCAGGAAGCGCCAAGGGCGC